CCAGCAGCTCTGCAGATATGAAGTGATGGTGTCCCTCCTCACAGAGTTCCCCTCCATCCAGACAGAGGACTACAGCCCTGAGTTGCTGTCCACAGGCGTCCCGCTCATGGTCCACATGCTGGAGACCAGCAAGGTGCAGCTCCACTCTTCTTCTGTGAATTTACGTCTGCAGTCATCCAGGAATGGTCATGGTTACATTTCTGACCTCTCATCCCAAAAATCCACCTGAAACCCAAACGTCTGGTTTCTCTGCAGGATTACGTGATAACGAAGCGACTGGCGTCCGCCTTGTCCCATTGCTACGGCCCCGCCCCCATCCCCGCTGTCCCACCGATGGACGTGACTCTGTCCACACATCTGGGTAAGTCCACGCCAAAGGTGGGTCTTTACTTCCTGGTTTATGACAGGATGTTCAGTCGCTGCCTGTTTCCGCTCAGACTCCCACTTCCTGGACAACGAGGACATGTCGGATGTCACGTTTATGGTGGAAGGACGTCCGTTCTTCGCTCATCGAGTTCTGCTGCTGTCCGCCTCTGAAAGGTCGTCGGCTCTTACTTTGTACAAAGATTTTTATCTTTTACATGATTGTTAAAAATTTTAAACAGTTCTCATGGCCGTCGCCAGTTTTTTTTACTTGCTGTGACCTTTTTTAAGCATCTTTTCACAAACCAGTAAGGAAAAGTGACGTTTGTGTAACGTTTGGCTGTTTCAGATGAAAAATACAGATTTCATTGTTAATATTTTCCCTGTGAACCGGTGCACCCGAAGGTGTGAGTCTGATTTGCGTTTGATCTGAACAGGTTCAGACAAATGCTCGCCGATTCCCCCGACAACATTATCCACATCAGTCACATGACCTACAGCACCTTCCAGGTGGGAAACCAGCTGCTGGGTTGGTAAATGTAACTGGAGTCTGGTGGTGAAGCTTGTCTGTGTGCAGGTGATGATGAGGTCGCTGTACTGCGGAGGAACCGAGGGGATGAAGATGTCTCCGTCTGAGGCCACGAAGGTAAAAACCTGAGTGAGGGTGTTTGGCGGCGGCAGCGACTGTTTACTCGGCCCGTTCTGCACCGACGTGTGACGCTGAGGTGTTGTTTGGATTGCAGCTGCTGCCTGTCGCCGCCTTCTTCCAGCTCCGACGTCTGCAGAGATGCTGCGAGACGACGCTTTCTCAGAGTCTGACTCTGAGCAACGCCGTGAGCGTCTATCAGGCTGCCAAGGTACGGAAAAGGTTCAGAAGATTTAGAAGTTAGAAACAGAAATGACTTTTACCTTTTAATGAAAACTGTTAAAGTTTTCCTTCAGAATCATTCGTGTCTTTGTTTTCTAAGCTTGTCTGATCCACATGCATCGCTCAGGAGGCTAAAAACATTTATATCTAAACATTATTTCCTCCTGCGATACGAACCCGGGCTCTCTTTTATCAAACGGTCGTAGAAATAGTCCTACAGGTGATCCCTCGTTTATCGCGGTAGATGCGTTCCAGACCTGGCCGCGATAGGTGAAAATCCGCGAAGTGGGGGCACCATATTTACAGTATTTATTTAACAGGTACGTATTCAGTATTCAGACTTTTAAAACCCTCCCTTTACATAGTACTGTATTTTTACTTGTTTTTTTATAGTTTTATTACAAAAAGTGTATTTTATGATAAAATTGATGAAAAAAAACAGGAATTTCTTGATATTTCGCATAGGAAAATACCACGAATTGGTGAAAAATACTGCGAATCGGCGAATTTTCCTTGAATAAGGCTCCAATGAAAAAATCCGCCAAGTCGTGAATCCGCGATAAACGAACCGCGAAGTAGCGAGGGATCACTGTATACTCTTTCCTACGAGTGAAATGAAGAATGTGTGTGTGAGCAGTCAAAATCCTGATCTAGGAAACCTGCGGTGGCCTCTCGTACGCACGTTCTTGCGCACTCGTCTGATGATGAATCCCACCCAGGTGCTCGTGTCATTCACACCCAGAAATGCACTCAATTGACCATATTTGGTCACACCGTGTCCGCAGCACATGAGCAGATCCCCCGCCCCCCAAATAAAAGTGCAGAGGTTGTAAATGCGGTCGGGACAGAGGAGAGGTTCCCGTCAGGAATGAATTAACTGAATCGGATAAATCGAGTAACGGGTTGTCATTTACGTTTTACTCTTAAGGAGTCGCTCTGGTTGGAGTTGGGTTTAAATGTGTGAGAGTGCAGCCTCTTCTGAGCTGTCCTTCAGTCTGGTTACCTTGATGTGGCGTGTGTGATCGGCGAGCAGAGGAGGCTCTGGGGGTTTTTCGTACTTGTAGATGAAATCCCACCATCTCATCCCAGCAAAACCATCCATTCAGCACAATATCTCAATCCAGAATGACTTCCCATCTCTGGCTCCTTCAAAGGCAGTTTGAAATCTGGGTGTTGTGATTGATGAACACCTGACCTTTAAAGATCATGTTGCCTCTGTTGCTCGTTCATGCCGCTTTGCGCTGTATAACATACGAAAGATCAGACCATACCTAACACAACATGCCACCCAGCTCCTGGTGCAATCTACTGTCATCTCCCGCCTCCATTACTGCAATGCCCTTCTAACTGGTCTTCCAGGCTGTACTGTGAGACCTCTTCAAATGGTCCAGAACGCAGCGGCGCGTCTGGTCTTCAACCAGCCAAAAAGAGCACACGTCACCCCTCTGTTCATTGAGCTCCACTGGCTACCGCTAGCAGCACACATCAAATTCAAATTGCTAACACTAGCATACAAAGTCCGAGATGGTACGGCTCCCATCTACCTGAATCCTCTTGCAAAGGCTTACGTCTCGGCCCGGCCGCTCCGGTCATCACTGGATGGTTGGCTAGCAGTGCCTACACCACGCTCAGGACAGTCCAGACTCTTCTCATGCATCGTTCCACAAATGTGGAATGACCTACCAAGCACTACCAGAACTCCGGCTTCCTTTTCAATTTTCAAGAAACTCCTGAAGACCCTGCTCTTCAGAGAGCATCTTCTAAACTAGCACCCTCCCTGCACCCGTCCCCCCTCTCTACTGTCCACTCCTTGTTCCCTCCTCTCCATGACTGATGTCAAGTTGTTGTTGTTGTTGTTATTGTTGTTAGCCTCAAGGGCAACATGCCGATTATCACTTGTAAGTCGCTTTGGACAAAGCGTCTGCTAATTACATAAACATAAAATAACCTGGAATTGGAATTGTGTGGTTTATCGGCCGCTCCACAAAGGGTCCCAGATCGCAGCACAGGTCCAGGAGGATCTCCTGCGGGGAGATCGGTGCACTCAGTGGACGCAATCCCTCCAGAGAGCGTGCTCTGCCAACTCCTCCAACATGGAACAGTCAGATTCCCGTCGGTCACATGCATATTTTACTGGTTTTACCTCCAGTTATGCAAAAAAGCCATTTTTCCACTGACATAATTATTAAATGGGGAAAATTATGGATGAGGAACACGTGTGCTGCGGTTCCCCGGTTCTACCACTAGATGCTGTTCGTACGCATGGTCAGAGCTGTTCTTATATTTAGGAACGTTTCTACGCACGGATCCGTACGGTTGGTGAACAGCCGGGTGTTTCAGATGAACTCTGGCTATAAAACATTTAGTCAGACTTTACTGTAAAACCTTGTTTGTTTGTTTGTTTGTTTCTGCATTTTACCAGAACATGAGAATAAAAAACTACTAAACTAATTCTTCAAAGTAAGACTATGTTTTACCAAGATGATTACTTTTCATTAGTTTCACCATATTATAGATATTATAACCTTCATTCTTCCAAAATCAGTCATTATGTGGTTCTTGGTGAGGAAGTTAGATTTAAATATTGAACAGCTGCTGTGGCCCCCAGACTCTGGACCCCCCCCCCCCCCCCCCCCCCCCCCCCCCCCCCCCCGAGCCTGAGATCGGTGGACTCGGTGGTCTCCTTTAAAAAGCAGCTGAAGACTCACCTGTTCAGGCTTTGGTGTGACCTTCATCACCCTCTCCTTACTCTGTTCTTAATCCTCTTTCCCAGGATCCACTGATTTCCCTCTTTCCTGTTTGTTTTCTCTCCCTTTTCTTACATTTTAATTTTGTTTTTGTGAAGCGCCTCGTGATTTTTATCTTGAGGCGCTTTGTCAAAAGTTTTCTTTCTTATTCTTGTAGCTCAAATGTTTAAATTCCAGTTTAAAACTTTATTAGAGTTCAGTATTATTTAAATGAGTCTTTTGTGTTTAAGTTTAAGTTTTTCATTTCCAAATTGGTCCAGCTTCCCAAACGATAATTATTTAAATACAAAGTTTAGCTTAAATGTGGAAAACGGGTTTAGAAGAAACTCAGATTTGATGTCTTTATTTAATTTAAATGATTCTTTTGAGCTGATCGAGTCGTGTTTGTTTCTGCAGCTTCATGGAGGAGCAGAACTCTGCAGGTTCTCTCAGGGGTTCTTCCTACAGAACATGGACCTGCTGCTGGACAGAGAGGACTTCCATCGCCTCTTACTGGGTGGAGTCAGGAAGTCCCCGTCTCCTGCTGGGAACCAGCCTGGGCTGAGACAGAACCAGGACCCGCCGCTCCTTAAAGACCTGGAAGCTGTGCTGATCTGCCGACTCTACCAGCTTCACGCTGCGTGTCGCTGGTAGCCGGATGCTTCTGGTGAGTTAGTTCAGTTAATCAGCTGATGCTTCAGAACCACTTTCTCTCTTCAGCTTCAGTCCTGACGTGATGCTTCTTACCTAGAAGAAAACTCTTAGATGAAGGTTTTGTTTTATTTACTCCCAAACGTTCCCAAATCCTGCTAGATATTTCAGTGTTCCCGAGGAATTCTTACAGCCGTGGGGGGGGGGGGGGGGGGGGGGGAGATCAACAACATCTGTCCATTTCTCTCCTTTATTTATCTCACCATGCTGACAGTTAACTCATTCACTGCCAATGACAACTAAAGCCGTCATTTGCATTTTTTTTTACTGTGTGGGCGTCGGACGAGCCCCCGCACCGTGAGAACAAACATCTCAGCTCTAAAGCCGATCTTCATCCGCATATGTCACACGTCACGTGATCAGGAAGCAGAACATCCATGACTACGTTTACATGCAGCCAATATCCGGGTTATGATTGGGTTAAGGTCGGTATTCGGGTTTCTGAGTTGATCAGAATAACCCGTTTACAAGCATAAATAGAAAGAGTTACCCCTTACTTGCATAACCCGATGTAAATGCGGACGTTGGGGTAGCGTCAGGACGTGTGGACTACGTCCAGACGCAATATGTGTAATTTCCGGTTCTTCTTGTTCTGGTATCCGTGAAAACAACAGCATGTTTCCCAGTTCGGAAGAGATGGCGACCGCGTTTGTTTGCGCTTTAGTTTCTTCGTCACTCCGAAAGTGTGGTGCTGTGTTGATCCCAACTTGTTTTTTACTTCCGGTGTTCTGGCGCATACAAGACGTCTCGCTACTCAAAAGACCAAGATTCCTTGCGAACAGAGCATGCGCACAACACAAGCTTTGATGGGGATATCCCGATATGCGTTTACACGACCAAACATTCGGGTTAGAAAAGGGTTACCCCAGGTGTAGTAACCGGGTTTTTAAAAACCCGGTTATGAGCATATCCGGGTTTTCTGGCGGACATGGCCGTGCGGAACCGGGTTATTGTGAATATTCGGGTTTTGAAAGGGTTACTGGCTGCATGTAAACGCACTGCATGCGTTAGGAGATCGTTTTGGGCCGCCGCTGTAAAAAAAAGTGAGGCGTGAACCGGAAAAGCTTCTGCCAATCACAATTCAACAACGGATTATGAAAGAACGGATAACGCTCGAAACGCGCAGATTCTTCCTGATGTAAGAGGTGAGTCTCCGCTTTGTTTCTGCGTCGACATCATCCTAGCGCGCAACGTTGTGACTCTTAAAAAAACAGTAAAAACTGTGAGAAACGCTGACAGCGAATGAGTTAAGGATGCAGACACATTGTGGTTGCCATGGCGATGTACAGCTGATTGATCTGTATTGTTTTTCCGTCGCTGTGCGATAATCCAGACCCAAACAAACACGACACACGTCCAGAGCTCTAAAGTCAACAGGTTTATTCCTTTAGCACTGAAGTTGTTCACAGTAACATCACGAGGGAATACATTGCCAGCGTTTATCCTGCTCCGTGGTAAAACTCCGAATCCGTTCCGTGTGCCCCGGATTCCCACAATATAAAACAGAGGGAAGCGAACAATGGAAGGTATTGCTTTAGTTTTTCTCCGATGACCCAGCGCCCAAGCCGGATCCCTCTGTGAGAAAATGAGCGACGAGGATGCGTTGCTAACTGTGTGTGTGTGTGTGTGCACAGCAGTCGAAAGGAGGAGAAACAGGCAAATAAATTAAATAAATTAATTAGCATGGAGAGTAAAAGAACGAGTCCCAACAGCGACATGCAAAGAAAAGACAGATGCTGAACATGCAAACAGACGTACCACGTCAGAGCTGCCAGCAGGATCCCCTTGTTGTGTTTTTCATTAAAATAAGCTCGTTGTTAAACTCTGCTTATTTACAGGATGAGCGTCTGAGTCGTCGTTCGGGCGGGTGGGGGGGACATTTACGTTCCTCTCAGAGAGGCTAAGTCTACATTCTTAAATTACAACAGAAATTATTCCCCCAACGTATAATTTACAAGGTTTCTCTCTTCAACAAAGGGCGGGAAACAAAAGCACGTTTAAAAAATAACTTAAAAGTGACAAATAGCATTAAATCATTGATATTAGGAACATTCTCTACATCCGGTATAAATAACTGAATTAAATATTTAAAAAAACACAGAATTACAGCAGTTCAGTATCATCTGAATCCTGCAGAAAATACAAAAACCTGAACAGACGAATAAAAACGTAACTGAACACAAATGTTCTCTAAAGTGCAAAATTAAAAAATCAAACATTTAATCTGAGAGGCCCGGTCCCACCAGGAGCTGTTTAATTCTGCACCTGGGCAAGCGTCTCATTAGCGTTTATGGTTACTCGTGGCGTGAAGGTAGCAGCCGTGTAGCTTTGATCTAATCCGTTCAAATAAAACCTGATCCTGAGTGTAGAAGCCAGAGTTTCCATCTTCCTGAACAGCCTTCGTTCAGCGTTTGTCCTTCAGGAATGATAAGCTAACGGCTAGTCTGAGTGAAGCTCAAAGTGTGTTTTATGTTGTTTTACAAACGTTTGCACCACCGTCAGCAGAAACATAAAGATTATGATTTCTGTAAATATAATAAAGTTTTATAACAGACAAGTATAATTATTTTATTTTGTAGGTTCAAGTCGTTTCAAAATGACGAACATGCTCACATGGGTGTTCAGTCCTGGTTTCATTTGAACCAGTTCTCTGAACAGAAGCTGTTCAGGAGGCATTCATGACTTTTACACAAAACCGTGTCTGAGAAGTTGAACTGTGCCTGTAAAACAACTGATCTGGTCTGTTTAGAGACCTGCTGAAACGTATAGAGGTGTGTGTGTGTGTGTGTGTGTGTGTGTGTGTGTGTGTGTGTGTGTGTGTGTGTGTGTGTGTGTGCGCGGCTCTGTAGTTAACAGATCCTGTTTGTTCACCTAAAGCTCCTACAGGCGCAGATCAACGGTACCTGGTGTGACCACGCCTCACCTGATTATAATAAACATGATGTCACAATACTTCCTGTACAACAGAATAAATCATTCATTTAAATACTTTCATCCCACAAACGCTGTTCAGGGCTGCCTCCAGTCGCATGAAATCATTTGCTAAAAGTCAGGAGTTAAAAAAACAAAAACAACCCAGAATCCAGCCAAAGTGTGTCCCTCCGTCCGTCCTGCGTCCAGCCTCCGTCTCCTTCACTCCCTTGTTTGCGTCAGAGTTTTTCATGTACATGTGGGAGGAGTGGGAGGAGGGGTTTGTGTGTGAGGAGACTGACAAACGTCATTGTCTTAAGGCTTTTTTCTTTTTGCAACTCTGCTGAGACGTCTCTGTGCCGTGGGACAGAAGGGACTCGGTGGGGGGTGTCCTCGGTCTTTTCCTCGGTTTAGGACTCTCCTGGAGGAGCCGTCGGGGTTAATAGTTATTATGGATGACCCCTGGTGGTAGAAACAAGTCAAGCTATGACACGTGAGGAGGACACGGGGTGGGGGGGTGGGGTGGGGGGGCAGCATAGCTACATCTGCTACTTGTTTTAAAATACTGATCAACTCTTAAACGGAGCCACTCCCTTCATATAGTAGAAAATTTATAGGCAAAAAGTAGATTTGTTGTTTGTTAGCTTTTCTCTGAACGGAAGGGCAAAGTGAATGACCTGGTTACGGCTTCTCTAGTCATGCACAGCTACCGCTCCTTAAGGCTGTTCCTGTGTCCTGCTGCCGCCGGCCATCTTTGTTTTGTCTTTGCCAGGGGGGCATTTCGAGTCATTGGGCGAGGGCTGGTTGGGCCTGCTGCCGGGGGCATGCTTGGTGGGGGAGCTAGGCGGGGCGGGGGCGCCGGGGGAGTTCGACGCTTGGAGGTTCTTCTCGTCTGAAAAAAGCTGTTTAATTACGTCAAAGAAGTTACTCAACGGGCTGCCTACACAGACGGGAAGAAAAGAAAAACAAGAGAGAGAGAGAGAACAAACAACAGATGAGCAATGGGGTTAACATGAGGAGGAGATGAGATGAGGAGTGGAGCAGGAGAAAAGGAGACGCTCTACTAAAACCGGTTCTGTTGAGTTTTAATTAGAAATGTCCCAATCAAGCCTGGTTGTAATTAATTATAAAGACATTGCAAAGTAAGAAGAGCTGACTGGTTTCTCTGTTCTAGATCTAAAACTCTGCAGCTGCATCCGTTTTCCCACAAACATCACGGCTGAAGTCCAAACGTTGAGAAAAACGTAGAAATTATGAAATAAGGAGACATTTTATTGACAAGAAGCGCAGTTTTCTGTTATTTTCATCCCAGCATCCACAGAGAATTACAGAACTTCCTTTAATCCTTCACAATAAGAGTCTCACAGAAACACAGGCACCAGAAAACATCTGAAGCTTCTAAAATAGTTTATTAGTCCTGATTAACTCATTCGCTGCCAGCTATTCTGACCGTTTTTACTGTTTTTTAAGTGACAGAACGTTGCGCGCTAGGATGATGTCGACGCCAAAACAACCAAAACAAAGAGGAGACTCGCCTCTTACATCAGGAAGAATCCGCGCGTTTCGAGCGTTATACATTCTTTCATAATCTGTTGTTGAATTGTGATTGGCAGAAGCTTTTCCGGTTCGCGCCTCACTTTTTTTACAGGAACGGCCCAAAACGATCTCCTAACACACGGATGTTCTGCTTCCTGATCACATGACGTGTGACGTATGCGGATGAAGATCGGCTTCAGAGCTGAGATGTTTGTTCTCACGGTGCGGGGGCTCGTCCGACGCCCACACAGTAAAAAAATGCAAATGATGACTTTAGTCGTCAATGGCAGTGAATGAGTTAAGCTCAGACAGAAAACTGGATCAATAAACCGTTTTAGAAGCTTCACATGTTCTGACCTGTATTTGAGACTCTTATTGTAAAGCAGTGGTTCCCAAACTTATTTAGCCGCGCACCCCCTTCTATGTCCCGACCATGTCGCCCCCCCCCCCCAGCCCCCACATCAGGGCATGGCTCTATATATATATATATATATATATATATATATATATATATATATATATATATATATATATATATATATATATATATATATATATCAGATGTCAAGCTAAACAGAGAGGGTTAAAAAATTCCCCATCACTTTCATTTTTTAAATAGTAATGAATAAACATTCGATACATTACAATTTCCTTTGATTTAATTTTAAATAAATATTTAGAGTGCCCAGGTAGCACATAAACAATGCAGTTGAACGGTTTTCTTAAAGTAGGAACATTTAACCTGTGCGGCCAGAGCGCTCTCCTTCCTTCTGCTCTGCGTAAACCTGAACTGATCACCTACTTGTGCGTAATCAAATGTCAATAGGGGACAAGATATAGCCATGATGTTCACTTTTGCCTCAGACCGACTTATTGCTGTTTCATGGTGTGGCTGAATCTGCGACCCGCTGCCACGCTGACTGGAATAACAAATGCTGCAGTAACAGGAGTTGTGGTCAGGTTCATGAGGAGTAACTGGCTGGAGCGGACCCGACTCATCCCAGAAGCTAATATCTTAATTTGACCTTAGTTGTTATCACGGTGGAGGCAGCGTTCATTTCTGCCTTCAGTCTGACGGCGCGCCGGAGTTAAAGCAGCGTGCGCGCTTATTGAATCTGTGTGTGTGTGTGTGTGCGCGCGCGGCACAGCCGCTCAAGTCACCGCGTCTTGTTATAGGCGATTAAACCAATGTTGTAAAATGACTTCTGCCCAGCCCAGATGTGCTCACTTGTGCACCCGTGAGCCGTGGTTTCGCTGGAACACGTCTGACCTCTGACAGACGCACTCTGAACTTCAGATCTTCAGCGCGCTGTCAATAGCCTGAATGGGAATCATTTCTTGTTATTTAGTTACATCCACAATGTTCTGTGTGTGAGGTTTACAATGTCAGAACACCTGCATGAGACAGGTGTTAATTACAATCCGCCAGAATGACTCACCACCTTCAGATTTCTCCAACACCGTTAAAAATGATCAAATACGGAACATGTCGGCGTGCGCAGGCCAGAGTGCTGAAGCTCGGCGCATTGTTATTATGAAGCTAGGGCACATGTGGAGGACACGCGCAAAAATATACTTGTTTTCAATTACATTTATTGGGCCCACTTACTTTTTCTTTGGCCCACACACAAATGAGTTTCTACGCTAATGGTGACATATGACAGACTTCTCTGAGCTCCGCAGCCATTACACTTTTCACCTCGCGCACCCCCTAGCGGCAGCTCACGCGCACCACACTTTGGGAATCCCTGTTGTAAAGGATTAAAGGAAGTTCTGAGTAAACCAGTATCTGTCGGCAAATATATCAGGCTGATATTTAACTTTTTTCTTTTATATCTCATCGGCCGACACACCTCCTTAGTAAAGCCGATTTAAAGTCAGGCACTTCTCCAGGCAGCCCGGTGCTGTGTTGGTGTATTTTTCCATTCCTGGATACCATTCATGCTCTACAAATTACGTTTTTGTTTACCAGTTTTTACTATTTGATACTTGTGAGTTAGGGTTAGGGTCTGATTTTAACACTGAGCAGTGGGATTAAACAGCTGGTTTAAAAAAATGATTTTGAATTTTGTGCATTAACTGATGTTATTAGTGACATTTAACATGAAACTATGGTAGAAAACGTCTAGATATGGACCATCGGCTGACCGTGACCTTTACATAACGACATCTGCAATAGATAAACCTCTAGTTCTGAGTTCCTCTGTAGACGAGGCACAGTGCCATTAAATTGTCTCATTGTTTATAGATTATTCAGTAAAAACACCCAGAACCTCCCTCTACTGTAATTATTCTATTGATAAATAAAAAGTTATGTTTTTTTTCATGCATAAAAAAAGGAATCTCACTAATATTTACCCAAACTCCACCAACAACAGCACTGTGCTCCAGTTACCTGGTTACTAAACCTGTTTTACTCCTCACTATTTATTAGAAAATGATTTAAACTGTCGGCTCTAAATAACCCTAAAGACACGAGGCTTGACTGGGACGCTTCTAGTTTTACGTAATATTAATTACGGCGTGAAATCTCAGTTTCTCCTGCCAGATAAAGGACCAAAAGGAGCGCTGGAAGACATTCCTTACCTGATCAGGTGAATTTAGGGGTTTGAAATAAATTCATTTTGATGTTCTTTAAAACATTTCAACAACAGAACAAATCTGTTTCTGCTTAGTAAAAATAAAACATTTTATATCATCATTAGAAACAACATGTAAGGATAATAATTACTGTACTCGTCATTTTACCCACACTAGAAAACAGAAACCTGGATTTCAGCAGCGGCTGTAAAATACGTGAAAATTAAATTCTACCGGACGAAAACACGATGCTACCAGCAGAAAATCTGTTGCACTTTTACAAATAATGTTAAGTTTCCTGGGACTCTTATTGTGAATGGTTAGTAAAGGAAGCTGCATCTCTAATGCTGTCAGGATAATAAAAATGTTGTTAGACTAGTTAAAGAGCAAGTCACCCCAAATCAACTTTTTTTGGCTTATAAACTATATAAGCACGTGTAGTCAATAGTTTAGCACTTTAGTGCATCTTAGTCAAAATTTAAATATTCTGCCTAAAACTGTCAGCGTTGTGCCGTTGTCAGGTAAAAACTCTGAACTGCATTTGATGTAAATCTGACATCGCTATAGGCTAAGAGGTGCACAATGAAATTAGCTGGTACATTATGACGTCACAATGTCATTGTGAGCCTGTGTGTGTGTATTTGTTAGCGGCTCTGCCCTCTTGGTCTGCCTGGCAACAGCATTTGTTGCATTTTTCAAACATGAAGTGGGAGTGGAGTTATACTTTGGTAGGGGGTGACTTGCTCTTTAAAGAACATGACCTCTAGTTACAACATACAAACTAATTTAACTATAAAGTCACGAGTTCGCGGACGCAGCTTTAACTGCATGGGAGTAGAGGTGCTGAAGAAAATCGATTCAAGTCTGAATCGGGATTCTTATAAAGATTCAGAATCGATTCCAGGATCTCAAATATTTGGCATGTTACAGGTTTGAGATGCACTTTTTTGATCTTTGTTAGGAGAGTCAGTACTCCGTTTACTTTTGTGGTCCCATAAATTGAGATGATTTATGTTTGAATCTGCTGATAAGAGGGTGCTTGAATGCGATTTTTTCCATACTCAGAAATTTGAGATATTCTCATATTTATTTTCTAAGTTGATAAATGAGTACTCAGGATTACTCATGTAACTTGTTTCTACACATACTTGAAAAGTATTTGACCGTATTTCTTTCAAAGCTACTGTTAGGTAATTACAGATTTGTTATATTTTTACAAGGTAAGAAAAATAAATGTTGCCTTTTGGTCAAAAGATTGTTTCTGTTTACAGTTTTAGAATCACTTTATTTTACATAGTAAATTAGCATTATTGGAGCATGACCAGTTTAAAGTCAAATAAAAATGTCCCATAGCTTTAACTAACTTGTACAACAAAGTAGTTCATCCTGGAGCGGACACTCTTTGTTAATACTGATTGTGAATCGAATCGACGCCCCAAGTAACGGAATCGAATCGTTAGTTGCTCAAAGATTCACATCCCTAATGGTTAGCGTCTCTTACAGAAATGTACGTAGCACATTTAACAAGTTTAACTTTAGAGGAGATCTAAATAACAGCTTATAAAGTTAACTGGATAGAGATTTTATTATTTATTAGTTTATTTGTTTTTCTAATAGCTGCAGTGGATTAAACTGCGTAGCTAATTATTAACTAGTAAACTTGGCCGTGTTTAAGGTAGTACTCGGTGCTTAGGCTAGCAGAACTACTAGCTAACAGTACATCTATGTATCTTATCTACTGTGAATGTTTTAAATGATGCGCTGCTGCTTGTTTTGCCCCTTCCTGAATGTCTTCGGAAGCTCCTTCAAATCCACCATCAAGTC